CCCGTACACCCTGATCTGCTCCGCCAGTCGGTCCGTCCCGCGCCCCGTACGCCGCTTTGGACGTTGGAGGAGAAGAAAATCTCCGGTGGTGTGGTGGCCGAGGATTTCGATCCTCCTCCTTACCGCTGGACCGGAGGCGCGGATCAGATAGTACGCGAGAGCAGAGGAGGGCAAGGTACTCGTGCGGCCAGCTACACATGTCTGTCACGCCGAGGAAGTTTCGTGGTCATGCCGTACCGCGGTGCAGGAGTGCTCGGCGGGCTCGCCTATCTCACCATCGGACGGCGCCGTCCGGCTGCGAGTCTGCAGCCCGTCTCCCGTCCCGTCTCCCAACTCTGTCTCTGACAAGCTCGCACCTCTAACCTTCATCAGCCCCATATAAACCTAGGCAAACTTGAATCTAGACTAGGAAAAAAAAAAAAAAAAAAAGAAAAAAAAACATACAACCCAACTTTTTGGGGTGGCATTTGTCTGTTGGCGGTCGTTTAGTCTTTTGTTGTTTTTGTGTTGACCATGCCCCCTGGCGGCCAACAAGCACAGCTTCCATTTGTTTGTTTGAATGTTGTTGTGTGTGGCCGTGCCATCAGGTGCCATGCCTCTTGCTAGACTATTTGTGAGTTTGTGCTTTTGACCGAATCTTTTTTCCGGTGATTTACAAGTTTTAGTATTTGTGAGACTGCGAAATGTTTTTATTCGTGTAGTTAGGCATCGACGCAATCAATTTGAAATGAGCAACGTGTCAAATGAAACTGGCTTGGTATGCGTCTTTGAGGTTAGTGTTCAGGGTGTTCAGGAGGGAAGCCCTGTTTTCCAATGTTTCTCTATGGGACGATTTGTCGAACTTGATCATGATTAATTTGATCAAGTTGAGGCAAGATACGGATGGTGATCTTTAACTTTAACAGGGGTTATAACGACTGCTTGTTCATAGCGAACTGGAGCCCCCTTCTCGGGTCACGCAGTCATGGCGGGTCCGGCCGGCCCATTCCTTGGGTAGGCTGTCAAGGTGCCGTCCCATCCGTGGGTTCGCGAGGGGCTGTACACTCCTTTCTGCTCTGCATCGTGGTAAATGGGCGAGGAGTACCCAAGGTATTCTTCCAGGAGGTAATCCTTAGCACAAAAAGTTGTGGGAAGCTATATTAATCCACCCTCACAGTAACCACTGGTAATCCCTGGGAATTCTTAGAATGTTAGTATTAGTATGTTACCATAATCTCTTCACCATACCCTTTTATCCCAAGTATACTACTCCGTGGTAAGTGACTAAATGTTGTGTTGTGGTGATCATACGGGTAATCTGTTGGCCACCCCTCCAAAGTAAGAATCATACTTGTCTCAACCATACATCAACCTCTGTAAACGTGTAATTCTGTGATACTTATTTCATGGGATAGCCTGCTGTTTCTGGGAAAGTGTACCAAGCATATACTAAACCCATTAATCTCAATCAATTAAATGACATTAATTTCATCATTTTGTATGTATTGTATGTTGTTGTTTTTTAAATCGATTCATTGCTGCATCCATTCATTGCAGCACTCATCCCTTTGGAACGGCGCCCTGAAGTTATTTTATGGCCATCGGTGCCGATGAGACGGTCCAAATGACGACACTCGTTACGATCCAAAGAGAGACATATACTGGTGTGGAGGTGTCTCCACTATGAAAGTGTTCCGAAGCAACGCCAATTATGACGCCCGCTACTAGCGTCCAAGTAAGTACATACGTAAGTATACGGGGGCTCGGGGAGGTTCATTGTCGTTGTACCCCTACATTCTTTCCTCCTTTTTTCACAGCCTAATTTCGTCTCATCCACGATTTCCAAGTCTGTTTGTCGACGAATCTCCTGCACCGCTTGCATTGCGGGAGAACAGTGATTGCCCGGACGACGCCCCACTGCAATGCCGTGGGCGTCATGCTCGCGGTTGTGCCCGCGCCCGCCGCGTTGTCTTATCTCGCGACGCAACGCGACGCCGCGCGTGGGGGAGGAGGAGGAGGGAGGAGGTAGAGGTAGGAGGTGAGTGTGTGAATGGCAGAGCGGCCAGTGCCGCGGCGCGCCCGTCACCGTTGTGACTCAGGCGCGCGAGAACCGTCTCGACAACGCCCTGCCCGGGGGGCGCCCGTCATCGCATCGTGCGGAGCAGTGCGGTCGTGTGTCACTTTGCATTCTCACGTTGATGGAGGCCGTGTTCGTGTTCGCGAGCCTTATTGTCCCCGCGTATTGGCGCGCCGTGTGAACCGCGTTTAACGGCCCGGGCGTTTGCGTCGTCGTCGTGGTCGTCGCCAGGAGGGTGCGCCGCGGGCCCGCGGGGCGGTGCTGCAGCCGATCAGCTGGGCGCTGGCGCCGCCGCTCTCCAGGGCAGCGGGCTTCGTTGTCCGCGGCCGCGCAACGCCCGCGAGGCGCGAAGGTGTGGCCGCGCCGCGGTCGCCTAGATAGCGCGATACGAGCCGTGCGACAGAGAGAGACAGTGGTTGGACGGTGGCGCCGCGGCGGCGCGCGCTCGAACTAGAGACTCTCGCGTGCTGGTGGGGCCGGCCGGGCGGCGGCCGCGCGGGGTTCGGCTCCCAGGCTTGCCAGATGTGGCATTTTCCGGCCATTGTGGCCGTTTGGAAGGGCCGATGGCAGGAGGAATTTTGGGTGGCCGCGGCCACGGCAAAATGTGGCCGTTTCGACCGGACGCGGCCGATATCTGTATTTACGGAAAAGGAGGGCAAAAAAAAGGGCCTTTTGTCTTGGCTCGGCCGGCACTCTGCAGCGCACAGCGCACCAGCACGCCCATTCTCCCTCACTCTATTCATTCAGCAGAGACAGGAGGAAAAAAAAAGACAAGGGGGAGGGGGCAGGGGGTACAACACGACTCTTACGTGAGTGGGACAGAGACGCAGACAGGTCCGTCTCTTTCCAACTCGTTGGGCAGGGCCGCGTCGTCCGGAGGCGGGCGGGCCGGCGGCGGGCCCCGACCCGTGACAGATGACGACTTTACAACTTTCAGCTGCGCTCCCGCCCGGCCTTGCCTGGCCTTGCACTTGCCTGTTGGAGCCTGCGGGGCCGCGGCTAGGGGAAGGTCGTGTAATGGTTTGCATCGCTGCGTTCTCTGTCTAACCTTTTGGTGCGTCCTCAATGAGAGGGAAAGAGAAGAATTACAGTCTCGTCAGTTGCGGGATGGCCCCCTTCGGAGCTGTGTGGGGTGTGGGGTATCCTAACGGACCGGCCCAGGCCGAGCGCAGGCCGAGAGTCGGCCGATAGGGAATGACCAAGGGCTTGGGGTGGTTCCGGTGAGTTTACAGCATTGCGGCACGTGACTGCAACAGCCAATAGGATGCGCGAAAATCTGAGCGGCAAGCGCACCCCTGGGGTCTCGCTCGCCCCCGCCCGGTCTAGTCCTCCAGTGCTCCTCGCCGCGACAAGTGCGTACTCTTGCTGCCGCGGTGTCGGCGTTGGCGCGCGCGCTCCGGACTGTTCACCGCTACCGTGTCATCATTTGATTGTGCTTCATTGTACCTGTGCTCCGGTGTTACCTGTGCATCTCAGTGAGGATCCTTTGTGATTTTGTGGACCCCCTCCTGTGAAGGACAATTTAGTTTTAGTCTCCGCCTCCACCCACACCCGGACCTCTTACCTGTGCGTGGCGCGCGGCATCTCTTGTTGTGATCACCTAAGTGTTTGAGGTTTACCTGTTGATTATGGGTCCCCATGATCGCAACCGCCGCTTCAAGGAGGACTGGAAGAAAGGCAAACGTGAGTATTTTTTTTAACCCTTTAAACTGGACTATCCTGACACCTCAGCGCTCATCTGTTTCGCGTGTGCTTGGGTGCGGAAAATTGTGCCGCGGGGGCGGGCCGCGGGCGGCGGGCCGCGGGCGGCGGGCCGCGGGCGGCGGGCCGCGGGGCGGATCGAGAGCACGCATGTGATGTGATGTACGTGTTGTGGCGAGCGCGGTGTCGTTTGCACGGAAGGGTTCATTTGCCTGCTGGGAGAGTGCGACATGCGACTGTGTGTGTGCCCGCCTGGGCATCTCTTTCGCACACACACACACTTTGTCGCTGCAAGCAGCGTGCTCTCTACTGGCGGCCCGGGTCAGCGGGCCGCGGGGTCGGCGGGGCGCGGGGACGGCGGGGCGCGGGGACGGCGGGCCGCGGGGCGCGGAGGTGTCAGGATAGGAATGACGAATACTTGTTTTCGCACAAATTTAAGCTTGGTATTTTTTATTGTAGCTTGGCTGGAAGAAAAAGATGGGAAAGCCCATTGCAAATACTGTAAGCACACATTTAAGGATAATCGAAAATCTGCTGTCGATGATCACGGGACAACCCTGACTCACTCTAAAAATGCAGCACACTGGAATCGGCGACAGCAGCCAACATTGGCCAATATGGGTACGAGTACTCAGATATTTTGTGGCATTCCTAACGTCCGCGTTCATTGGCATTAATTTGTTTAAATTATCTTTCAGGTGCTGTTAGAATTATCGATAAGGAGGTCAAGTTGATTGACCTCGTGCTGACAGTGTTTGTGGCGTGTCACACCGCCGTGCGCAGCGTTGACCATCTTGGCGAGCTGCTGCGGAGGTTGGGCACGGGGTCAAAGCTTCAGCACTTGCGCATGCACCGCACCAAGTGCTCCATGCTAATAAAAAATGTGATTGCACCTGCCATGCTGACCGACTTGGTGAGGGACATCGGCGATCGGCCGTTCTCCCTCATCATAGACGAATCCACGGATGTCTCGGTCGTCAAGTACCTCGCCTTCATGGTGAGGTACCACAGCCCTACCAGAAAGGCAGTTGTGACCGACTTTCTGGGCTTCGCTGAGGTGTACAGGGCTTTTGCCGTATCCCTGTACACCCTCACAAAGGAGTATCTGCAGGAGGTCGGTCTCCGCATCCAAAATCTGGTGGGGCTGGGCACGGACGGGGCAGCCAGTATGTGCAGTGCAGTGCATGACAACTCGTCCGTGTATTCCTTGCTGAAGAGGGATGTAAGTATAGTTGCTGAAAATTTTGTTGTTTTAGTTACATGCTTTGATTACCGTTATAGCATTCTAATTTTGACACTATTTCAGGTCCCCAACTTACAGCTTGTGAAGTGTGTGTGTCACACGCTGCACTTGGCCGCATCACACGCCTCAGATGTGCTCCCAGAGGACCTGGAGTTCCTCGTCCGGGAGACGAGAAACTGGTTCGCTTCGAGTCCTCTGCGGAGGCAGAACTATGAGGCGTTGTTCAAGGCCATGAACGACGGGGACATGCCGCTAAAGCTAGTGCAGCTTTCGGGTACGTGGTGTCTTAGATGCGAATGCGAGCGTTCTATGCAAAATCAGCATTTCTTTTTTACCGCTATGTCTCACACACCCCCTCTCCCCCCCTCCCCGACAGGTACGCGGTGGTTGGCTTGGTCGAGAGCTCTGGCCGTGATCACCGCGCAGTGGGACGAGCTGAAGGCACACTTCGATCAGCTCATCCCCACCCTTCGCGCAAGCGACAAGTGCGTGAAGGGCCGGAGGCTGCACGCCCTCTTCCAGGACCCGTGCAACCGACTCTACCTGCTGTTCCTGAAGCCAATCACAGCAGAGGTTGCAAGGGTCAATGCCCTGTTTCAGGGCGACAACATCGAGGTAAGTGGTGTAATTTATTTCGGGCCCTAACACAAATTTCCACTTATTGTTATTATATGTGAGTTTTGTTTTGCATTTTACAGGTTACCAGAGTTTTTATGGAGCTTCGAAATGTTGTCTATGGATTGTTGCGACACATTCTAAAGCCCAGCAGGATCCCTTTCACCAGGGATGAGGATGCATTCCAGAGGGATTCGGATATCGCAACAATCCTTGGGGCCCTCGAGGACGGCACTGCATATTTGCCGTACTCATCAATGAGCTGCTTCGAGGGGGGCTTCATACAGTTGCTGGGGCAGCTGAACGGCGCTGGCGCTCCCGGCGATAGAGTCGTCGACAGCGCCAAGCTCGCTGGGGTGCAGGGGAAGTGCGTCGAGTACCTGCACCACCTGTGCCGCGAGCTTGTGACGCTGTTGCCGGACACGAAGCTGCTGTGTGAGGCCCTGTCCGGCTTCGTCCCCGCGACAGCCCTATGCCCTGTGAGGACCAGCCGCTTCCCATTCCATAAACTGCCGTTGTCATTACTTCGTAAGTACGGATAGACCCAGGTTATTTAATTTTTTGATGAAATTTTAATTTATTTCCATGTTTCCACAGCTCGTGGAGTGGACAGGGATGACCTCAGGTCTCAATGGGAGCGGCTGCCGAGTGTTGATTGGAAGGCGTATTTTGGTGGCGAAGTGCCTTCCAAATCGACAGATTTCTGGTGTGGCGTGTATGAGTATTGTGAGAACGAGGTGCCAGTTTTCCGGCTTATCGCCAACTTTGCCCTTCGTGTCCTGTCGCTCCCATTTTCGAACGCCGTCGTCGAGAGGGCGTTCAGTGTCATGAACGCCATCAAGACGAAGGCGCGCAACAGAATGGGGTTGGAGATCCTCATGGCCATCATGCGGATTCGGCTCCGCGTCCTTTGGAGTGGATGCTGCAAAAAATTTGAGCCTACAGACGAAATGTACGCTCTCTTTAATAGCAGCATGTACGAAAGAGTGAACAGGGAGCCCGCACCGCATGATGATCCTGATGATCCTAACGATGAACATGACGCGTTCGGCGAAGTTGATGATATACTGCCTCACGATACTGATACAGGCCCCGTCATTTCTATTGCAGATGTATTATTATTGTAAATTATTTGTTTTGTAAGTTTAAGTTATTTTCAATTTCTACTAATTTGGTTTTTTATTATTCTCTGTGTATATAATATGCCCTTACATTGCAGATATATTAAGTTTGTAAATAATTTATTTGTGAGTTGAAGTTATTAAT